AGCTAGCCTCTTCAGGCGGCAGCGGAGGCGTCGAAAAAGGAAGAGGCGACGGCACAGTGGATTCCGGACCCCGCTGACCGGACCAGGGATGGGGGTGGGAGAGGGGGGCGGGCCGGACCGGGACGGGCGGGCGGAGCAGACACTGCGGTACAGACGGGGGCAGCGGCGGCGGCGGCGGCTGCACNGGCGGCGGCGGCTGCACCGGCGGCGGCACCACACAAACAAGGACGCTGATTGGGCAGCTGCCAAGCGCCTCGGCTCCGCCTTCTCCACACGCCACGACGCCCATTGGGCGACCTAAGCCGGCCTCCCCGCCCTCTTCTTCTAGGCCATACCAATAGAAGTTGGGATGCCGAGACTACACCCCACCCTTGAAGAGTGAGTGGCTGGGGAAGAGATGATTGGCGTACCTGAGACCCAATAGTAAACGGAGGAGGGGGATGGTCTAGCGGGGGCGCGTTAATGGGTACCTTGGCCAGTCCCAGACACATCCGGGTCTTCAGCAGTCCATTAAGTGTCGGGGGTTAAAAAATCGCTTCAGGCTGCAACTTTACCTTGGAGACGTTTTGGTCCCCAGGCAGCCGCCGTACCCTAGAATCCCAAAACCGGGATTCCCCTTTGGCCAGCTCTCGTTCTTCCAATTCTAAAGATGGAAAGTGGTGAACGGCGCTCGGCTCTGCGTTAAGTGGTGTTTCATCCTGACAAAATCCAGGAATTTCACGATAGATAGAAGTATCTTTAGGCAGTTGGGCCTTGCTGTCTATTTGGGGCGTGGCCTGTCTCCGTCTGCCAAAGGCCTTGAGCTTCCTGGTCTTCATGTACCCTAGCACGGTCCTGTCGTGACTAAACCACAGCAGCAGAAAAAAGGCAGCTAGCCAAATTGCTGAGAAATTACAGTGTGCAAAGCCCTCCTAGTTCCTTCTCTCGGGATCTTGTCTGGTTAGGTTCACAGTGAAGGAAAGAGCCTCCTACCCCACTCCACCTGATCAACTCAAGGCCCAACTCTTCTTGCACGCCTCCCTACTTCCCGGGAGCTGTTAGGCCCACCTAAGCTTTCTTAACATTTCTTGAGCACCTCGCAGATAAGGAACAAGTGTCGAGGGAATTATAATAGCTAATGTTTTGGGAAAGAGGCTGTGCCAGGCACTGTGCTATTATACATGCGTTATTCTTTTAAGAGCTTCAGATGGATTATCTTACTCCTCATAACTGTAGAGTAATTGTTATCATTTTACAGATGAGGAAAAATGAGGTACAGATCAAATGGCTTACCCAAAGTTACACATGCTAAGTGGCAGAGCTGAAATTCTAATTCAGATAGCTCAAGAAACAGGCTCAGAGAGGTTAAGTAACTTGCAAAGGTCAGACATCTGATTAGTGACTAAACAGTGGTTTGAACCCAGAAACAACTGATTCAAGAAGCACTAGAACATGTTTTTCAAATTATTTAGAAGTCATGCTCTGCAATGGAAATTAAACTAATGAAGGACATGGCCACACACTAATGAAGGATCCTGAACACACACACACACACACACACACACACACACACAGAGGCATGTCCCAATTCTTATTTTAAGTGGGTAAAAAACCTTGTCTCATTCTAGTAATAGTGTCCAAGAACATGGTCTCTGGAGTCAGACTACCTGGGTTTGCATCTTTGCTCTATCTCTTACCAGTTGTGTGATTTGGGTGCAAGGTACTTAATCTCCATTCTCTATGCCTTAATTTCCCTGTCTGTAAAATGGGAATGACCGATAACAGTACCTAGCTCATAGGGTAATTGTGAGGATTATAAAATAGTCCATTTAAAATGCTCAGGATGGCCCAGCTGGCGTGGCTTAGCGGTTGAGCATTGACCTATGATCCAGGAGATCGCAGTTTGATTCTATGTTCTGGGGCTGTAACAGTAAATGAGACAGTCATTTACTGTCAGGGCATGGGCTCAATCCCCAGTAGGAGCCATGCAGGAGGCAGCTGATCAATGACTCTGTCATCACTGATATTTCTATCTCTCTCCCTCTCCCTTCCTCTCTCTGAAATCAATAAAACATGTTTTTTTAAAAAAAGAAAGAAAATGCTCAGGACAGTGCTAAGGATACATTAAGTACTCAATAAATAATAAATAGTAACCTACGGGTTTTCCTCACTTTCCCAACAATTTTACCCTCTTAGTTCAAAATTCAGCTTCAGTTGGTATTCTACCAATAGTAGTTGTACTGAACTGAAAATTATTTCTCTAACAACCCCTTAATTTCAGTGCTTTCACTGACTATTATTTAATACACGTGATAGAGGACCTATTATGTCATCAGGCACTCTTCTATGTTCTGGGGCTGTAACAGTAAATGAGACAGTCATTGCCCTCATGGAGGGTACAGTCCTTTTTCCCTAACTTGCTGCTTTACCCATGATCAGTCCAATGTGTTCTCTGCTGTCTGAAGGGCCATTCTTTAAGGGCTGTGAGGAGACATAAGAAATGTGTTGGTGGATACCAGCCCAAAGAAGATACTAATGAGGCCTGAGAAAATGCCTTCTAACAAAATTAAAATCAGGCCATGGAGGGGGACTTTTAATCTGGAATAATCAAGTTCCAAGGAAGACAAGTGAGGCCACTGCTGTAGTGGACATGACCTTTGCTCTATGCAGACGCTTCATTTTCTTTTTGAAGCTAACATTTTTTACATGTGCTTAGTATTTTATATGGATTTCATAATTAATCTTTAAACAACCTCTCCAATTTGCAGATGAGGAAAAACTGAGGCATAAGTAACTTGTCAGATGTAATACAATTATTAAGTGGCAGAGACAAGATTTACCTAAAATTTTTCATACTCAAGCCTATACATTTTAAAGTCTGGGAAGAGAAGCTGGGACAGGTAATATGTTCATATCCTTCCCTTCATACAGCTCCCTAAGCCACAGGACAGAGAGATATCAGATGCCATGGTGAGTACTTTATTAATTGAATTCTCAGATATTCTTGTCGTTAAAGAATTCTGTGGTTCTGCACACCTGACTGTAGACCTCTAGAAGGAAGCCCCAAAATGAGAAACATAAGCTGGGGGCAGGGTTGATTACCATTATTGTTTGTGAACCAAGAGGCCCTCTAGACCAGTAAGATTGTATGGTATGGTCTATTAAGGTAGGGACTGAGCCCTAAAAATCTCTCCAATGTCAGATGGTTTAGCATATTGCTAGGTACATTACACTCAACAGAAACTTATGATTTCAGGAAAGCAGTGGCTCCCTTGCAGAAGGTTCTTGAGAATGATACAGGGAGAGGTTGATTCTGGGAATGAGGTCTGATCAGAACCTGGGGTGACATGAGGATTCCCTCTGAAGAAGGCATCTCCTGGTTCCTGGCAAAACAGATGGCATTTCCTAAGCCCCTGCTTTCCTCCTGTGCAGCTTCTTTACCATGCTGAAGACAAGATGGTGAAGGGTCCTCTGGCTTGAAGGTCCCAGAATTCAGTAGTACTTTTCATCCATTGATCTCACGCCCAGGAATGTGCGCTAAACGCTTATGTAAGTTATTTCCTCCATTGACACTCTCACCCTCCTTCCCCAAGGCATTTATGTTTTGTTGGCTAATTCCCTTTGGTAATTGGTTTTGAAGCTCTATTAGGAGTTGTTTCTGTATCTGTTTCATTATACAGGAAAGAAAGGGAGAACTCTGAGTAGGCCAAAGGGATTAGAAAAATGATGCCTGTCTCCCTGATGCACACATGCAGTAAACCCCTTAAATCTTGCCCTATTTTCCTGGCACTGTCCCCATGCTGAGACCCTGGTTGGAAAAGTACTTCCTCCAGCTAGAGCAACCAAGGAGGCCTAGGATGACTGCCAGGGCTCCTAGGATGCATGAGGGCCACCAACACCAACTATTGGGGAGAGTGTTGTCATCCCTATGAAGGTACTGGAGTTGGGAGAGGAGAGCTGGGGGAGAGGAAAGAAGGCAGAGATGAGCTCAGGGTCCCCAGAGAATGGAGCCTTTGTATGGGTGGACAGATGAGGGACAAGGGGGTGATTGTGTGGGAGGGCCGGAAGTGCCACACAGACTGGCACCACCAAAGCCAGCACCAGATTCACCCCTCTCCTGCTCTGAGAACTCCCTGTGCCTCAAGGGACCAGTAGCAGACCTGGTCAGGGAAAGCAAGGTATACCTGAAGCCTGCAAGGGGTGGAAAGGTGGAAGGGAAGATGTGCAGCCAAGGGAAAAGGAAACAGGAGGCAGAATAAAAAAGACAAAAGCAGCTTTTACTATATTTACATCCAACAAAACTTCATGAGGAACAATCCTTATTGCACAGTCAGGGCCCTGGGTGGGTGATGCATTCCCCAGGCAGAGTGGACAAGAAGGATTAGGACTTAAAGGGGCCACCAATTCTTCCTAAGGGGAGTTTGGGACTCCTCTAGTTCCCACTTCTTGACTTTTAAGGCGCTACAAACCACTGAACCATGGGGCCCCATTTCCCTTTTCTTTTTCAACATCCATAATAACTTCATAAGCAAGGGGGTTGTGGCTCCAGAATAAATAACTTAAAATACAAATTCTAAGCTGGAAAGGCATGGAGAGCCTTGGACTTCTTCAGCAATTCTAGTGAAGAGGGACCATCCTTGATGGAGAATGACAGCCCTCCCTCCCATTCAAGGCAAAGGCTCAGTAACTCTGTATCTTTCCAGTTGTTTTTTAAAACAAAAACTTATAAAATGACCAGGGCAGTGCAGATCTGTGGGTACACTGGAGGGGAGTTCCTAGGATAGGACAGGGAGAAACAGAGCTGTGCCAACTGCCCCCAGACCTCCTCCAATGTCAGCATGAGCTTACTGGGCAGGTTGGAGACAGGGAATTGTGACTTTTGGTAATAGTGGGCCCCTCTTCCTGTTGCCCCCACTTGGAGCCTATGGCTGGGCATGTCTCCTAGCCTGTTCCCAGCTCCCCTATGAAAGGAACAGGGAAGCAGATTATCTCTAGAATCCTTTCTCCCTTACCTCCCCACTCTAGGTTGGAAGGGGAAGCTTAAGGATCCCTAGCATTCCAGAGGTGCTCCAAAATATTTTCGGCAATCAATGGCCTTTGGGGTGGGCATCTGTGCCCGCCGCTGCCTCAGTTCTTCCTTGCCCATGCTGCTGGCCAGCTTGTTAAAGGCAGACTTGTACCTCTTGTCGAAGGTTACTAGGGAAGAGGGTGAAAAGGAGGTCAATATATAAAGATTCCAACCTCTCATACCTGACCCCAGATCCCTAAACTCTTCAGCCCCCTGCTTGCATCCTCACCTATGTCCACGTGGTCCTTGCCCATAGCAGCCATTGTCAGGAATAAGATCTCACGGTAGATGCCCCTGGAGTGGAGGCAGAAGGACATGAGTGAGATGCAGAAGGGGATGCAGAGTCTGGTACAGGCCAGCAAATCCAAGATGGGAGCCCCCATACCTCTGTAGGTGCAGGCCTGTGGGAGGGGGCCCTAGGGTTCCTAGCAGGAGCCCTATAGCCTTGTGCACCTCATTGAGACCAACGAAACGCAGCACCGACTCCAGCAACTCCAGGGTAAGGGATGTAGGTACTGGGCCTGGCCATGCCACCCGATGGGGGATCTGGCCTGGGTGAAAGAAAGGAAGGTAATCAGGATTATTGAGCCATGGGGCATGGGACCCATCCCTTCCTACCCTCGGCCAAATACCAGACTCACTGTGGACTCTCCAGAGCACATAGAGAGGTGGGCAGCTATTGGGGTCAGGGGTCAGAACATCCCACAGCAGCCGCACCTGCACAGATGCTGGATCAGGCATTAGCCAAGGAGACGGGGCCTGCAGGAGGCCAAGAAAAAGGGGACGGTGAGGCTCATGAAGGATAGGACATGGACAGACGATGTTCCAAGACACACAGGGACACTACAGGTCATAGCCAAAGAGAAGAGGGAAAGGAACTCTTGCCCCCCATGAGAACGCAAGCTCTTTGAGAGCAAGGACTTTGTTCTATAATCTGCTACATTCCTAGTTCCTAAAAAACTGTGCCTGTGCTCAATAAATATTGGTAAAATGAGTAGACAAATCTTAACGAATCACTGTCTGGGTTCCAGGCATTTCACAAGGTGTCTAACAATAGCCCTGAGGGGGAACACTCACGCCCTTTTATAGATGAGAGAATCAAGGCTCAGTAGTGAAGTGAAAGGCTGAGGAGTAAGGCCGAGCATGCCTGACTCCAAAGCATAGACTCTTCCTACAGCACCAAGGACAGAGGACTGAGAGAGAGCTGGGCGATGAGGGAAGCACTCAGGAAGCAGGGAACCACATGAGGGCACTGACCTGGGGCTGTGGGGGCCCATTGCAGGAGGCTAGCACCAGACATGGCAGAATACTGGGCAAGCGCAGCCTCTGGAAATACCACAGAAGGTTCCAGAAGATGATGGGGTGGGCAGCAGGCAGCTCAGGCAACGCCAGCACTTCACTGCCCTCGTTCTCTACCAGGGACTCCAGCTCCTTACGCAGCACCAGGGGGCTCAGGTATGCCCATGCCCCACCCTCGACCCGCTGGGAGGCACCCTGTTGGGCACAAATGGGGAGGGCAGTGGAGGGCATGTGCCATGGCCCCATCCTCAGAGCCATGCTTCCACATGTCCAACAGCTTCTGGGATGCCCCATGCCCTCAATGCCCATCTCTCGACAGCACCACTGGGCCCCCCCCCCACAGGGCAACACACACCCATTCCTCATGCTCCTCTGGCCCAGCCCTTACCCCCATGTGCCCGTTGCATAGCTGGGGCTCATCCAGGGCAAGGCAGAGCCTGCGGTCACTGAGCACAGGGCCTGGGCCCCCAGGGACAGGAGCATCTTTGCTGCCACTGGCACCAGCAGGGGCAGGCTTGGGGCTGGGGGCACTGCAGGGGGATAGCAGGAGGGTTCAGCACTTGGACTTCCACCTCCCTGTCCCACCCAAAGCACCTGCCCTGCTTTGGGCACCTGGGTCGGGAATCAATAGTCTGGACACTGAGCAGGGGCACAAAGGGGCAGGCGCAGAAGGGGCAGGTTGTGTTGAGGTTGGAGTCATCAGGTGCCCAGCCAGCCATAATCTCCTCATCATATACCAGCGAGTCACAGGCACGGCACAAGGAGCAGCTAGACAGCAGGATCTGCAGGTAAGAAGACCACAAAAACAAGCCCTGCTTGGCCTCCAGGCTCCTTCCCCAGCCCCTCCTACCTCCAAATCCCAGCCCAGCCTCCTTCCACCTCCTCCCAGCCCCCGCCTTTGACAGAGTGAATAGGTGTGATTGTGTGTGTGTGTGTGTGTGTGTGTGTGTGTGTGTGTGTGTGTGTGTGTGTGTGTTCAAGCACATCTGTGTGGGAGATTATCCTCACTTCCAGGGAAGGTGGCTGGAAGGATCCGGGGGTTTCAATGAGGCGCTCTGAGGAACGGCGAAGGCTCAGGCTGCTGACAGAAGATTCTGAGAGGTCCAGCTCACTGCCCAGAGAGGCTGAGCTCTACGTGAGAAAGCATGGTCAGCCAACCCATGTTCCTCTTCACCCAGGATGCTGACTCCAACCACCCCTCAGGGCCCTCTGGCACTCTCCTGTTAGCAGACCCTCCCCACCCAGGCCTCCTGGTGCTTAAGTGTCTGGACCCTCCCCTTGCTGGCTACCTCAGAGGCAGTGGATCCAGGGCGTTCCCGGGGGTGCAGAAGGCTATCCATGGGGCTGCGGCGGGCTGGGGGAGGCAGGTCAGGGGGCAGCTCAGGTGGGGGAATGCGAGAGGCAGAGGAGCGGCGGCGAGAAGGAGTGAGCAGCTGTTGCAGGCGGGCACCCAGCCCTCGTCTGGGGGTGCTGGCCTCATCCTGACGCCCACTAGCCTTGGGCACAGGCTCACTTAGCCCTTCCATAGCTTCAGTGGACTGGGTACTCAGGGCTGAGCCTGAGTCCCCTGGGCTGCCTCCAGCTGCCAGCTCCTCCCCAGTCAGGCTCAGATCTGAGAGGCTTCCATCATGCCAGGGCACAGGTGATCCTCGGGGCTCCAGTACCCCCAAGGCCTCCATCACTGCAGGGCAGAAAAGAATCCGGGAAGATGAAGCCCAGCCACTCCTCCAGAGATTGAGTAAACACAGTTTCTGGCTGCACAAACTCTGGCACCACAACCCCAATCGTGACGGCATTCCGGGCAAGATTCCCTCAGAGTCTGCAGTCCCCACCACAGAGGGCCACCCCTCCATCCTGGCTCTAGTCTTCCTCTCTCACTGGCAAGTGGTTAGGAAAGCTGACTGGGGTGTTGGTCAGTCGATGGCACTCACTGTGGGCCACGCCAGCCTCCACAGTGGGTTGTGCCCCTCGGGCACTGCCCAGGCTGCCACTCTTCACCAGGCGCCCCTTGGGTGAGGCCGTGTCCTGCAGGCTTTGCCCAGCCCAAGTAGTCTGGCGCTGAAGAGGGCGTGTAGGGGAGGGGCGCTCCAGATAGGGCTCTGTAAAAGACAGGGAGGGGCTGAAAGGCAGCCAGTTAGAAACCCAGCCCTCTATTCCAAAAACAGAACTCCTTGCATGGACCTGGGTTTGTAAAGTTCCTTGCAGAACTTCATCTCTCTTGTTACCAGCCAAGTGTAGTTTATCCATCCCCAGAACACCCAGTGCCAAACACTAGGCCAGTCCCAGCTCTCCATGCCTCTCCCTGCCTGAGCCCCAAGCCCATGTCACCAATCCCTGCCTACCTGTCTGGGAGCTGCCTGCCTCTTGTGCTGCTGCCTGCTGTTGCCGCTGCTGCTGCTGCTGCTGCCGTTCTCTTAAGGGCTGGCGGAACTGAGCAGCCCCCAGGACAATGTTCCGAAGCTTGGCCCAGCGCAGGCGCCCACCCGGTGTACCAGAAGGCCACTTGCTTTCCAGCACAGCCTGCAAAGCACAGGGCCCATCAAGATGGCCTACTTTCACACCCTGACCCCAGCCTGATACCTACTGCCTGTCCTAGAGCCCCAGGGACCACCTTCCCCTCCAGACCTGCTGCCTAGGACTGTCCTGACAATGGCTCAGTCAGGAACAAAAGCCCAGAAAAGGCAATTGGCAGCAGCCACCACTGAGAGGGGTGCAGAGGAAGTCAGAAGCAGGGAGACAATTTATTTCCAGACTCTGCTACTTATAAACTATATGGCTTTGAAGAAATCATTTCACTTTTTTGGCTGTTTCCTCATCTAAAAAACAGGAGGCAGTTTAGTGTCATGGTTAAGGGCCTGAATTCAGGAGACATCAATATGCATGTGTTCTGTTCATATCCTACTTCCCTAACTTACTCATTGTGGGACGTTGGACAAGTTACTACCTCTGCAACCTCGCTGCCTCATCTGTAAGATGGGGATAATAACCCTGCCACCTCTTGGGTGAAGATAAAATAATATAAAATGTATTCTGGCACACTGGCTAACACTGTTAGCTATAATTGGGAGGTAGCAGTACTTTCCCACCTTTGAAAGGGCTGTTGTGAATATCAAAGCAGCCAAGCATGAGAAAATCCAAAGTAGGTGCTAAGACACTACTGGAATACATGGGTGGCAATGCTTACAGTACCTAGTTGGGTTGTACAGGCCCAATCTCCAAGACTAGGGGAGAGTAGCAGGTGTTAGGGAGCAGCATCCTCCCCATTCATACACCTGGCACATGCCACTGTCCCAGCTTAGCCCCAAATTTGGTACCTTGTTGTAGTAGCCATAGGTGATGGTGTTGGGCACAATGCCTGCCTGCCGCATCTCCAGCATGACCCGCACGGACAGCACAGGCTGCCCATAGTGCGAGCACAGCTGCATCAGCACCCGGTAACACACCTGAGCCAAGAGAGGTACAGGATGACGGGACTCATTCCCAACCCAAACTCTCAAGTCTCAGCAAGCACCTCTTTCCGCCCCTCCGGTTCTTACAGACTTCACTGGCTCCTGGCAGCCCCTGGAGCTGCCTAAGAGCCACCCACTGTTCCAGCTGACCCCGCCACCCTCCAGTCCCTGCTGCTATCCCCTGGTCATGCTCATTCATTCAGTGAATCTTATGGAACGCCTGGCAACTCCAGGGCTCACGCCTATGCCCCCCCATCTACCATCCCCTCTCCAGTGATTCCCTCTCACAGCACCCACAACTGCACATCTGGGACTGGGCAGGGGCACCTACCTCATCGGGCAGCACCACCTTGTGGTCTTCCATTTGGCGCAGCACATGGTAGGCCGTGTGCAGTGCCTGCACCCGGGAGGGTGCTGACCGCACATAGGCAGGCAGACACAGGAACCACAGCCCGTAGCAGTGCCCCAGCAGGCACCGGGCCCACAGCTCAGGCACTGCTGCAGACTTCTGCGCCACCCGCTGCGCGACTTTCATCTCCTAGGTGAGGCAGGGGACACATCTGGGTGAATACAATGCCAGGGCAGGGCAGGTCTTAAAATGCTGTGGGAGAAGCAGCCCCCTCCCTGAAAGAAGCTGCACTTGGAGGAGACAGGAGGGTTGCTGCACACACAGGCTTCAGCCCCTGGGCCCTGGGTAGAGAGGCTAAGATCCTGAGCATGGGCAGATACCCTGGAAGAGGCAACACACTCCTGGATTCCCAGAGTGCTCAGAAGATGAAGATGATGATGATGACAATGGTAACAATAGCTAATGTGTTCTGTGCAAGGCATACGTAAACTTCCTCACAACCTTACAGGATAGGTACTATTATATGCATTTTACAGATGAAGAAGCTGAAGCAGCAGCCCTCGGCTGAGCCAGGTGCCTCTGAGGAGCACCCCCCTGGTTACCTGTTTGGTACGGCGAGGAGCAGGACTGCTAGGGGCACTACGGGATGGGCCTGGCACAGGCAGAGCCCCGGTTTGCTCTTGGGGAGACTCAAACAGCTCAGCCCGTAGCTCTGGAAATCCATCATAGCTGGAGGAGCAGAGAGGCAACATCAGGAGCAGTCAGCACTAAGCCAGCCTGTGTGGCCTTGGAACAAGTGAGGGCATGACAGACTCTCACCAGTACTGGGGAGTGGGATCACTGCCCTCTGGCACTGGAGGCTCCTCAGGAGGTGTGATAAAGACAGTGAGCTCACTTCCTGACAGCTCCTCCAGCTCCACCAAGGGTATCGGCTCAGGCTTCTCCTGCTCTGGGTGGACCTGGGGCAGGATGGTAAGAGAGTGGGCATCAAGACAGGGGGGTGGAGCAGGGCCAGGGTGTCCAGAAGGTAGCTTCTCCCAGGAAATCACATCCTTGGGGAATGAGCAAGTACGCTGAGACCCCACCGGGGTCCTGGAGATACAGCTGGGGAATGGAGTCAGGAATGGAAAGATGGGATATATATAAGCTAGCCATGTTACACAGGCTCTTCACAGAATAACTCCAGGGGCACCTGGAGTAACAGAGGCAGCCAGGAAGAGAGCAGAGGGCGATGGGCACAAAGAGAAGGGGCAATGCTCAAAACCT